AGTTGAGAGAACTATATTGCCACTCCTCCAGTATGATGAACTCTACGATATTCAGATGTCACCAATTTTTGGACAATCTGTGCATTGTGGATGGACGCCCAATCTTGCCATGGTGCCCCCCCGTGTTTTCTATGAGTGTGCCTTTCGCTATAAAGCATCAACCAAGACAGAAGGAGTTTCAGACGATTTTACCATCCAGTTTTGTATCTTGAGCAGCAGATGTTCAAGGTGCCTTCAAATAATGATTCCTGCTCTATGGCTGCTGCGAAAATCATCTCTGAATTTTTTGAAGTTTTCGTTATCATTAGTTTGGTTGTCCCTCTTATTCAATACTGGTTCGACGGCAGAATATCGTCTCGTAAAGGGAAACAATTAATAAATGAGGCTCGGAATCAAGATAACATCGTTTATCATCTTGGCTTTCTATTCGATTTCCACGCATTGGTTAAAAGCTGAGCATTTTCTGACTTGTAAGCCTTTCTCAAAGATATCTGCAAGCAATACCCTGCAAGGAAGTACTCTAGATAGCAGTTGCAGCAACCAAACGACAGTTTGAGCGAACTGGCTTTGAACGCTTCTTTGCTCGTATCTTCAAAAGAATGCTCGTGAAATCGCAGAAGAAATCCACCTAGGTTTGAGCTTACATATAGATGCTGATAAATAGCCTAATGAGCTTCGTAATGGTGATCGAAGGGAATTTCAAAGTGCTTCTGAATCGCCTTGCAATGCAACACAATCAAACAGCTCGTCGGAGGGTAACAATGATAGTTTCTCAAGGAGGTGAATGATTGTCTATCCCAGAGATGATATTTTCTATGTGACAAAATCAAAGATGGAATACTGAACTATCAAAACAAATACATGAGTATACCTCAAAAACTCCTGATGCTCAAATACAGAAAGTGACAACGACAACCTCTTGGTACCGTAATTTTTGCCCATCCTGTACACAGGGAGATGGGCGTGCAGACAAATAAACCAGGGAGATACAGTAGCGGTCAAAAGTCTTCGCCGAAATTGTTTTTCGACTGTAACTTTTTTTCCGCTGAATCAAATCAATTCAAATTTTAATATGTTTTAGAGATAGTCCTACTTCACTTAAACGGCATATTTGTTTCGGATTGAGAAAGAATTAAGAATGGAAAAAATCATTTCACTAGAAATTCTCGCGTATGAGCAAATTCCAAGTAAGGTTTCAAATTACTCTAGCAAGCTTACAATTCAACAAAACAATCTTACGCATGATGAATAACACTGAGGCAGGTCCAATACTTTGTTAATGATCTTCTGGGTCGCTGAAATACTAACAAGGCCTAAGTAAGGAATCAGTCATTGAATGCACTGTCTACTAGGGCAGCTTCCTCCACTTCTCTTGAAATTTGACGAGTTTCTCGCCCATATTTCCGGCTCTTATTTCCACCAAAGGTATCCCTACTCTTTCCCATAATGTTTCCGATGGCGCTCAGGGACATTGGTGTGAATTGTTCCTTTCGTTGAGAAGCCACTCTCGAGCTCAGTCGCGGGCAACTGTCATACATGTGGATAAGAGCTCCTTCTAGAACCCAACTGTATAGGCTGCCTTCACATGATTGCGAATACTGCGAAGTTAGTCGGCGGTGAACTGGTCGGGGGCGAAATGGGCTTACGCACACCTAAAGTGGGGATCCCCATAGGGCTACAACGTCCTGCGGACCAACGAGAGTAAATTCAAGATGTTTGCCGGCGACTGAAATAGGAATGTGTGCGGTCCTGAGGAAAAACGTTTCGATCCAAGGAATTAACTGCCGTATGTAAAACTTGGCGGAGGCTCGCGTGTGGTAGTCCGTAAAAGAAGTTTTACAACTGCACAGGATTAGAGAAGTGGTGAATGCCGACGTATCAGATAGATTCTGAAGGAGTTTCGTATCCGCTCGTATGAAACTGTACGTGACTGAGTTCGCCTTCTAGCTATAGAGCGACCAAAAGCATCGCACCTTCACTGTGAAGGATTGGTTTCGACAGCATGGCGCGCTTTCAACGAAGGGAACAATTCACACCAATGTCCCGAGCGCCATCGAAACATTATGGGAAAGAGTAGGGATACCTTTGGTGGAAATAAGAGCCGGGAATATGGGCGAGAAACTCGTCAAATTTCAAGAGAAGTGGAGGAAGCTGCCCTAGTAGACAGTGCATTCAATGACTGATTCCTTACTTAGGCCTTGTTAGTATTAGGTTGTCTCATAAGTAGTGGCGCATTTTTTCAAACGGAAATTTTTCTTGTGAACCTCTAATGTTTTACAATGTTTCATATACCATTCGATAGGAAATTATCTGCTCTACAAGAAGGTATGTACCCTTTTTTGATTGTTGCAAATTGTTTGAGTTTTAGGCATGCAAAGTGGGAGCTTCAGACGACGAATTTTTGCCAAACCGACAGCTGACCTAAACTTTATACTTCCCTAGAAGAAATCAATCAATAATGTAACTATAACTTACTCATAACCTCTACTAAACATTCCACATTTAGGTTCCCTAAAAGCTTGTCTCGTTTAATTTTGAGATTTAGTTATTCCAGTGCAACTCGGTGGTTGCCTGTCAACCCATAGGGCTTCCTTCAGACTGATATTTTCCATTCCAATTCCTCAGTATTGACGCTACTTTATACACACCTGGAAGCGTTTCTTCTGCTCTACTTACCCGCATGCAGAATTTGGTTTTGATTTCAATCCTGGTCGAGTTTCAGCATAGAAAATGGTGGTATGTCAAGTCGACGAAAAGGAACACTTCCGGCACCTTCTGCTGTTCACCTTCAACCAAGGATCGAGTGCCACAAAAGCCGGCAGGCAACCACCGAGTTGCACTGGAATAACTAAATCTCAAAATTAAACGAGACAAGCTTTTAGGGAACCTAAATGTGGAATGTTTAGTAGAGGTTATGAGTAAGTTATAGTTACATTATTGATTGATTTCTTCTAGGGAAGTATAAAGTTTAGGTCAGCTGTCGGTTTGGCAAAAATTCGTCGTGAAGCTCCCACTTTGCATGCCTAAAACTCAAACAATTTGCAACAATCAAAAAAAGGGTACATACCTTCTTGTAGAGCAGATAATTTCCTATCGAATGGTATATGAAAACATTGTAAAACATTAGAGGTTCACAAGAAAAATTTCCGTTTGAAAAAATGCGCCACTACTTATGAGACAACCTAATATTTCAGCGAACCCAGAAGATCATTAACAAAGTATTGGACCTGCCCAGTGTTATTCATCATGCGTAAGATTGTTTTGTTGAATTGTAAGCTTGCTAGAGTAATTTGAAACCTACTTGGAATTTGCTCATACGCGAGAATTTCTAGTGAAATGATTTTTTCCATTCTTAATTCTTTCTCAATCCGAAACAAATATGCCGTTTAAGTGAAGTAGGACTATCTCTAAAACATATTAAAATTTGAACTTGATTTGATTCAGCGGAAAAAAAGTTACAGTCGAAAAAGAATTCCAGCGATGACTTTTGACCGTAGTCGGACACAACCTTCATTTTCAGCTCAGATTTTGGCGCTGTGCAAGGTCCAGAAGCCGTTCACTCAAAAATGGTAGGTAGTCATTTCTTTGGATAAAGACAAGCTGGATCTGCCAACGTGAAAATTACTGTGACAATAAAGTCTTCACTGACAGAGCACCAATACTTGTGGTGTCCTGAATATTGGTTGCGTTTGGCGAGCGCTGCTGTACATTTTGATTCATTTCTAGTGCAAATATCATTAACCTGCCACTGAGATATTCAAATGAGTGTTTACAGAAGCCCCGTACATCCCAAGAAAGTTTCGGAAAATGGGATAGCATTATGCGAGAACGACCGAGTCGTAGGGATTACAAACTTCGACGGTCACGTAGGAGCTCGTCGAACAGATCCAAATCCGTGTCGAGCAAGAGAAGCTCCAGGGCCTCCTTGAAAAGGAAAAGCAAGAAGAAAGACGGAAAATCCAAATCGATTGCTAGCAAGAGAAGCACTCGATCCCATCAAGAAAAGAGTAACCAGGAGAAGAGCAGAAGCTCATCGAAAAAAGCCGTGAAGTCCCGTAAATCGAGAAGACCCTGGCGCATGTTTTGTAAAACTGCTAAGTCGGAAAGCTCGAAGAAGTCCATGTCTAGCAGAAACACAACTCCTCCAGCAAGTCCTGCCAAGCTGACCCCCACCTCACAAAGATCCCTTCCAGCAGGACGGTCTTCCATATCAGGGTCCACAAAGCGCAATCATGCGAAATCAAAGCAAAGGAAAATACAAGGTCCACAAAGCGGAAGTGTAAGCGCAAGGGAAAAAGGTTTGTTGAGCCATACTGTATGCGACTACGAGCTTTTTTTTACTCACATGAATCCTCGCCATTGCAGAGTTCGGCATTATTGTCAGGCGTCGTCGATTCCTTCTACCTAAAGCGATCTGCGATGGCCTTGGCTTTAGCGTGGTCTACCATGAAGACTCATTCTAGCCCTTATTCGGGTTCTTCGTGCAGCGAAGTCTAGTGCCTCCCTAATAAGTGTGTGGCTTCTAAAGGCATGTCTCGGGATGGAAATGGTGTGCTTCCTGCACACGGATGCATTGGTTCGAAATGGGGCGGATGTATTGGTTCGAAATGGGGAGTCAGTAAGGAAGGAAAAAATTCGCCGAAAAGCGCTTACTTGTTAGGTTAAGGCTCACTCACCTTCCTAATCGGCTGTGCTAAGGGAATGAGAGACTAAGCGCGGAGAGGAGAGTATGAGGCGAGAGAGCGCTACAGATGAGAGGGTTCCAGACAACAGCTGATAGAAGAAAAGAAGTTGCAGCTGCTGCAGCTTCGCTTGCGAGGCCCTTGCCCAGGTGTTTCCCTTACTATCGAGTGAACATTTACACTCTCCGCCACTTTGATTTCTTGAGTACCTCGGTGTTGAGTTTTGGCTAGCCTGAAGGCGAAGGGCTCCCTACTTCGTCGCCCCAGCTTCTCATACGCGTTTTGCCCGAAGCAGGTGTATACTTAGCGATCATCGCTAGCGAGCCGGGCGCTTTATTGACGATTCGAGCAATTCGCGCGACGCCCATTGCTGGAATCGCTTGCGCGTTGCTCGTACCCATCGGAGCAAGGAAAGGTACTGCAATTCTTCGAACGATGCGCCAGCAATGCCAACGACGTCTGACACCATGTTACCTTGTCTCTCATAGATCGAGATCTCACGCAGTTCTTCCTTTGCACATAGTGGAATGGCCTCAGCCGCTTTAGTTCAGCTTTGCTGGACTGGTCCAGGTAGCTCCAGAACACTGTTTTCTAGTGTCCTTTCTCCCAAGTCGCCCTTTTCAATTTTATGCAGCTTCCACTGACTTTTCGCTTCTTTGTTATGTCTGTTTTCTAAGAACTCCGTGGCAGCGCCTCCCATGAGCGCCAGTGCCTAATAAGTAAATAGTTATTTCTCTTGTACACTAAAGTCTTTCATATTTTTCCAGAGACCTCTACTGAGAGCAGACAACCAATTTTTCTTTGTTACAACTTGCTGCTTTGAACCTACTCGAGGGTCTCCCTTTTTGCAAAAAAGATGCCGCAGAATGCAAGGTCGTGGGCTGCAATCAACTAGAGCAGCTGTTCCCTCAGCTCATCACATAGATTCTCTCATCTTGATGAATCTTCTGAGGTGTTTCTTGTGTGGCGGCTGACCAGTCAGTTCATCTGCTATCGACGATGCCATCAGGTTGATCAGCTCGATACCGGAAGATAGCATAATTACATTCGGTATAGATCTCATCAACCAGATGGCAACGTCGAGCTTCAGCCTAAGGCTTGGACGAAAGATAATAGCAGAGATATCCTACGAAGTTGGGACAATCGAATTGCGGAGTTCACACCAGTGTCCTCCTCATTGTAGCAAAGCTTGACACTGCTGAAAGTTCCTTGCCATTAGCTTTCTGCCAGTGTCTTTTCCTGTAAAAATAAAACTTTGATGTTACTGCGAGCTAGAAGTTAAATAGTACTGGAGCGAGTCCTTAAAATCCATCGATGGCCTTCGCGAGGTGGCTACAAAATGGGCACGGTTCTGCATCCTACTCTACTTTCTCCCTCACTCCCTCACTCTCCTCAGAGCTGTAGTTCGTTCAACGGTCGAATAATTCTTGCTGCCACTAGTAGAAGAAGGGAAATAAAACGCGTACTTAATTCCGCTTCTCTACATTTTATTAAGTTGATCCATAGCTTTTGTAACAAACTGGCTATACACTGACCTTATTTTTATTATTATCTTTTTCTTTGTCTAATACATTGGCCATCATTATCTAGATTATAGCTAATGCTTTAGAAGCTGTTCGACGCCTCTTCTGTATAGCTCCACTGATTTGATATCATGATGGTTAGAATAAGATTTCCGCTCCAAGAGCTGTCTCGAGGGGAGCAGGTGGGTATCCCCTCGCACAAGGCGGACGTGAAAGGCTCAATGAGTGTTCCAACAACTTCGTAAAAATGACAATGACGATTGTCGCTTTCTTCACACCATTCACAGAAAGGAGGATTTGCAATCCAATTGAGCTGTGGACATGTTACTCTCGTTGGTTGAGCCGGCTGCCCAGGTATGAATCTGTGGCGCTCTTCCATCTGGTATTCCTGCATATTCGTCAATGGACGGGGGGGCGTGATAACGTGAGCAGTCAGAATCTCCCACAATCGTTTTAGGATAAACTACATCCGCCTGTGTCATTGTAGCACATTGACCCCCTCCTCACCACGGGCAATGATGAATTGTCATCGATTGATTGGACCATAGAATCAGAATCTTCGTGACGTTATCAGATCGTTTTAGAGCCGAATTATCAATTTTCCAAAAAATAATCATCCGGATCTTGTAAGTTGAAGTGTCGCGTGCTGTCAACCTGTGGCATCTAGAATGACACTGGCAAATGATCTGAAAGGTACCCATATCCCTTGTTTACATCGCTGGCTATGGTCATGTTTGTTGACACTCATCACAAGGTTGGGTTGTTGTTGGAGGTTTCTTCGAATCACTCAATAAAACGTCACAGTGGCGCATACTCGCGATTCGATAATATAGTACTCCCTTACCCTGACTGCGTCCTCCAATGATAACTCAGACATCTGCGGTAGTCTTCAAGCGGCTCGTTGGACAAGATGATCCAGCCATAGGGCCCCGGAAGGAGGAAAAGACCTTGTCTGCGAAATCTTTGTTGACAGCCAAAATTACGTAGCGACGGCATAAGCACTCCGTCTGACCGTAATTGCAAAATGTTCTACAAAATCAATTAAGCATTCATGTTACAAACGAATATCGGAATCTCAAATACTTCCAGCATCCAACTTAATTTATTGATAGAAATTAGGCGCCATGGACTGTATAAAACCCTAAGTTAAAGGACGAATTCACGATCAGAGGGAAAATCGAATTAGGAAGAATTCACCTGGTTGAGGGACCCGCGGAGCTCCTAAGTGTGCGAACTGAAGCACAATTTGCACAGGAGGAGTTGACCTCGTTGACCTATTAAGGTTTAATCCCGCCGCGGCTGGTCAGTGCACGCCCACCGATCATCTGATCACTCGCCGCAGGTCTATACGTGGTGAGTGATTAGATAGGTGAGAGAGCGTAGCGTTGAAGAGGGCACAGCGATGATAGTCGCATCAATGCTCAAATCAACGCCAGCAACCTAGAAAGAGAAGTGCCCAAATGCGTCCCATTTCTCAGTTCCCGGTCGCATGAGTTTCCTTCTGAGCTGTACCACTCACCATCCCTAGGTTGATTTGAACTGGGTTGCCTTTCCAGCGTGAATTTGTCCCTTAATGTGTCACTTTGCATTTATGCCTGTGTGCCTCTACATATGGTTGCTGTGTTGTGCTGTCAGAATGATGTTGGTGAGGCAGCCAGTGGATTAAACCAACCACCAAAAAATGGGGAGCTTAGAGGCATTGCGATGTCGTAGATTCGTGGCAGCAGGTAAAGTGTTAACACCCTCAATTGGGGGGGGGGGGGGGTAGGGAGAGCATACTGCCAACTCAGGATCTAAATTAGTAGGTGTGTTAGGCTCCTGTAAAGGCACTCCTAAAGTATGTTATCAATGCTACACAACCTTTCAGCTGTATATAACCCCGTGAGCATATCCTCGTTCACTTCACACCCTTTCTGTGCATACGCGTCCTTTCACGAGGTGTTGCACTCACAAGTGGAAGTGAACATAGCAGATGGCGTAGAGAAAAAAATAAGGGGGGGGGGGTCTAGCAACTGCCAGGGATAGAAAATGATACCAGTACGAAAACCTCCATTATTCTTTCTCACACGATTTATTTCAGGTGAGCCGAAAGCTGCATGAAATTGCCTCATCCTTCGCATCTATCACAAAATTCTTCTTCAGTATTGGTAGCTGTATTATAACACCAATGCATTAAAGTCTTGAAAAACCCTTATAGTGATTTTCATGTAAATTCGCAAATACTGCATCACATAAAGATTGCGTAACATATTTCAGTAAGAAGTAGCCTAGATTTGTTAGGGTGCCATTAGTTGGAACTCCTAGTTCAACCAGTTTCCATGCAGAGCATTGAATTGCTCAGAACTGTTCATCATGGCATGCATAGCATATCTTCAGAATCCTTCCAAGAGCAGGTTGTGGGGATTTGACATCCCGAGAGGCTTCCGTATGCATCCGATCCCAGGTTTTCAAAGCACCTCAGTCGAGAGTATTCAAACTATTGCAGCGACAATATTCTTGACCACCCCGCCGACCAAACGGTTCGATTACTGCAGAAGTACACAAAACCCTTCTGGCTAGGGTAACGAAATGGGTGTCTTTGCAAGTCTGGCTCGTTGGAAGGACTTCTGACCCTCCAAGTCTTGGACGCTTGTGCACACCTGGTTGACTCGTCTTGAGACGCTTCTGGATGTAGCGTGCTGATACACTCTGAAATACAACACGCACTGCAGTGAATGTGAGCCTAAAGCTTTTGCTACCCAGTAAGACTCGATTGAGCTGCTCAATGACGCATGGAAGTTGAAAAACAACGAGCTACACAGAAACCGCCATATGTGGTTGAAAAAAAGTCGAAGTCCTTTTGGGAGCGGGCGCATTTCTCGAGATTTTTGTCCATCCTGTAGTATAACTCTCGGACGGAGGCAGAGAGCAAATTCCATTATTCGTTCGATGGAGAACGCAAACTGCGCGTTATTTTTCTATCAATTGAGTACCTCACCGCTATCGCGCACATATGCAGTAGTCGGTCAAAATGTTCATCATGTGGAACACCGAATCCCATAGCTATACGATTCACTTCATCCAGTCTTTTCCCTGAGTACCCTTTATTGGAAGACTGTGACCAGCCAAAATATATGTTAGCTAAGCTCCTTAACAGTGAGTGGAAGCACCTGAAGAACACAGAAATTCACAGTTCTAAGCGGTCGAGGAAGTGTTGCTTACCATGCATCAACAATATTTCGGAAGGTTCTTTGTGAATGTGCAAAAGCACGGGGAGCGAAAATATGATTGGGTTGTCTCATAATTCCTGTCGCATTTCTATTCAATTTCAAATTCCTTCCGTCTAAGACCGTTTCATTGCGAAATACGTTAGTATGTTGAAGTATGCTTCAAGTGCCTTAACAGCGTGGTTTCGGAAGCGCAAGCCCTTAACGGGTTAATCAACTAGTAATAAAAATAGGTCAGTGACTGCAATCAATGATTATGCTTTACGATCCTCAAATGAACTCTGTAGCAAGGAGGACAACAGAGAAGATCAGCGCTGTGTTTGACTCAGTCTCTGCTACTGATAGGGTACTGAGCTAGTGGACCAATCGCAACGGCAAAGACGAAACGAGCTATGAACTTCAACCTCATACTGGGCCTGCGGTCATTTTTGATGAGCCCCCCTTGCACCCTAAATTGGGAGTGCCTCCGCACGTTGCTACCAGGGTATTGTAGCAGATACCTGAGCGCAGCCGATGCACCAGCACTGCCATCAGTATGGCAAGACTGCTGCAGAGTGAAGTTTTGATGGAAACCTTATGGTCCGGCCGACCATGAGCGGGAAGCACGCCTGATCACCTGGGGAAAACCCATTCTTGGATGGCAAAAGCAGAGTCTTCCCTAATCGGTCACCGGTGGAAATGAGTCATGAGTCCACTGCGACAACAACATGCGGCACGTCTTATGGCTGCCTCGCAGCCAGGAAGCACCAGCTCAACCAAAGCCCGAACTCCGTTTTCTGAGAATATCGATCTCGTTTTATTGGATTCGCTAGGTGGCCTGGTTTGGGAACCACTTCAATGTATGAAGACAAGCATTGCTAAAGTCAGCGCGGAATAGCCCTCTTGGCTGGCTTTGGGGTTGCGAGAGAATCGTCAGAAACGTCTCAGATCCTCCTTCCTCCGAATGTACACCAGACCTCACATTGCAATGCCAACTCACCACGTTGTGGGGGAGATAGCCAGGGCCACGATACCTCATCCACCATATAGCATTGGCATCGCTCTATCGGACTATCGCCTCCCCTGCGCTTTGAATAAGCATCTGCCAGAGAAGAAAGTTAAAGATTGCGGTCACCCCAAAAACGACTTCTCCATATTCTTCAACCCCCAGTTTCCTTCATTCTGGGCTGGAAGCTTCCAAACGCCCACTAGTAAATGCACGCATATCAGTGACCATGATGGTGGTTATGCTATTAGTCAGTTGTTTCCCAGAAGAGATAAAACTTGAATAAACAAAAGTGTCGAAATTGCGACAGGAATTATGAGACAACCCAATATTGTTGCGTTTGTTAGTGACAGTAGAAATATAGAGAACGCAAAGCCAATTAGGGAAGAACGAGAAGAAACGCAGACAAGGCTGAAAACAAAGCCCCTGTCCAGTAGTAGCAAAGCAAAATAGCACTGATTGTGGGCTGGCTCAATGATTTTGGGCAGAGCCAATGCTGCATCCTAGAACCTTAACGTATCACCTTGTCAAATCATCCCGAAGGTTGTGTACGTGCTTTACGCTCCGTACCGCTGCACTTTTCTCGGAAAAAAGCTTAGCTTTGACCACTAATCCCGAACCTTGCCTTTAACATATAATACTTGAGTTCGTTGATCGAACTGCGCGTATTGGCAACGCATGACTTGCTATGCTCTCCGTTTACTTGGTCTTGCGCCTTGATATACTGTCACTGTCACCCGTCGCCAAGTTCCTGCCACATTTCTACATTTTCTGCTTCTGTCGTGATGGCACATGCTTATCTTCTGTCAGTGAAGAGCATATGCCATCACAGTAGAGGTGTATGGCGTTCTTCATGACATTCCCCTTTTGACCGGTCTCTGCCAGCCGTTGTCACTCACTGGTGCCAAATTCTATCTTTCTTGACAGCTTGGTTTCAACAACAACAGGACATTAAAAAACATGCAATCTTCTACAGTAATTTGCTGTCAACGACAAAGTTGGGGCCTCCCACCCAGAAAGTTTGTGATTTGCATTGACAGGTTAACGACAGCGTGCAGCGCATGCGCTGCATACTTTGAGCATGATGTGGGACTGTGCGCAGCAACACTCGAATAGTCCATTTTCTTCGCGCATGCGCTACTTCGTAACCGTAAACGGTGTGATTGCCTGAAGGGTTGAATATTCTTAACTTAAACGAAGGTTCTCCGACATTCTTTAGTTCTTCAGTCCAGTTCATTCCTCGTTTTCTTTAGCTTCTCTTGAAAATGAACATAAGAAATAGTAGTAGAAGTACACATCTACTATACGTATGGAAAACATGTCTTTCCACGTAGCCAACTATTTTGAAAAGCACTAGAAAATGGCAATTTTTGCTTGTTTGTTTGTTAACTGCTGTTTTTGGCCGCAGTTCGCCTTGCGAATGTTTCACAAGAATGCTGGGTTGTGAACAAAACTTTCGCCCCAGGCGGGACTAGAACCCGCACCTCTCGCTTTCCGGGCAAGTGCGCTACCAGTTACGCTACCGGGGCACCATTTCATTCCAACTCAGCTTTTCATGGTATACGTACCATAGCTTTCAGCACTCACACGTATAACGTGTTGAGCCGGTTAGCCGATATCGGCAATGACCGCGAGGCTGAAAGCTTTGTGCGGGTTCTAGTCCCGCCTGGGGCGAAAGTTTTGTTCACAACTCAGCAGTCTTGTTAGTGTCATTTGCCAACAACAAAATCTATTGTATGAAACTTGAAGTGATTGATTGGAATTCAATACGTTGCGCCGTTAACGCAGCTCCGTGATGCCTAACAGTACCTTCCTACGCTCACAATCTTCGCCGAACAGTACGCAATGCTCGCCTTGAAGAACTAGGGCAGAATATACACCGTTGTCTGCATCCATCCTGCACTAGTCCTAGCTCTTCTTGCCTCTGATCTGGGCACGCATATTTTTCGATCTTCGCTGCTCTGAATTCGGTCTAATCCACTGAAATAAGAATTTCATTTTGTATGTGCCCAAGGGGTTTCTACGAGTGCGTCTTGTACGGTGCCTCTTCAAAGCGCTGCTATACCATCATAGCAATATTCACATCGTGCTATCGTTGAATGTGCTTTCAACGGGTTACAAATTAATTTCTAACGTTGGAAATAAATGATTTCATGGACGAAATAGGGGACAAAATAAAGTACACATGGTGTTGGCGATGGTATCTGATGACATACGTTGGCTTCCTTATATGACCACGAGGCCTATCGTGGGATGCATTTCAACAGTGTGTCAGCCAAAATGTTTTTTGGTAAGCCACTCTATCAGCATATCTAGCTGGAATGAACTTTTCATTGTTCACTGTAGTTGAAAACAGGGAATCAGGGACATCATTCGATCATTTGTGTCATGCTTTGACTCCGAGGGGTAGGATGCTCTACCTTCTTCCTCTTCCAATCGCAGGTAATATTGGGTTTTCAGTTTTGCTTACAAAACTTAATAATTCGTCGTAGGTCTTACAGTTTCACCCCTTCGAACGGGAACCACTACCCGTACTATTCCTCTGAACCACAACATCGCAGCGAAGGAAGCAGTGCACACTAGGGGCATATTCAGTTTAGATGAAGTCGAGACAGCTTCCAAACCTCCGCTGGATGATCCTGTATTACAGGGTGCCCCATAAGCATTGCACCACATTTAGAGCAACAATTCTGTAGGTGTTTGTAGTCCTTTCTCCAAGTTGGACACACCTTAACTTCCTAAATAACCATGCTGAAGTGCGCGGCTTGCCGCTCATTATACATCTCATGGTGCGCCTAAACCTCGATAGAGGTCGTATTCTCTTATACATCTACATAGGTCGAACATCCGGTGATAAATATCGCACTCCTTTGCATTCTTCACCGCGGCCTACCGTACACTGAAGAAA